CAGCCCTTCAGGGCTGCACCTGTCTCCTCTCTGCTGCGGCTGCCCACCCTGGACCCTGGCAACCCCGTCCCAGCAGCAGAAAGGTCCCCAGCTCGCTTCCTGCCTCCGATCCCCAGGACTCTGCTCATCCCTGTCAGGAGCACAGTCCCAGCACCTGGGCACTGAGGGTTGGGTGAGGCATGTGGTGGTGCCCTGGGCTCCTGGCACACAGAGCTCCTGGCACACAACTATGGCTGTCCACAGCATGGCCATGGCAGCCACAACGTGCACAGCATTCCTCCTGGCCCACTGCCTGAGCCCAGCACCAGGGCACCCAGACCTGCCGGGGCCGCCCTGTCCCACGCCCCGCACCCACTGCATTGAGCTGCCCCGCCTCAGCATCTGTCTGCCTTCCACACTGAACCTGAGGTGGTGGGTGCAGCAGTGCAGGGCAGGATTGGTGGCTGCCCCTGCCCGCCCTGTCACCTCATAGCTTCCCCTCTGTACCCGTGATCCTGGGCAGCAAGTGGGGTTTCCGGAGACCAAGCTCCGTCCTGGTGAAGGCAGTGCCAGGCACTCATGGAGTCCAGTGAGGAGGATGCCAGGCCAACCTGCACTGTTCAGTCAGCTCGGCAGGGTGACAAGTATCCTCTGCCTCTCAGGAAACAGAACAGCAGAGGAGAGCAAAGTGCCTCCTCCGCCACGTGTATGAGTGCAAGTGTGAGAGGGGCGGTGTGAGCTTGCTCGCTCCCCTCCATTTAGAGCAGATGATTCTGAATGCTGAGGAGCTGACTGTGCTTCCTTTTGGGTATCTTTGTGCTGTCTTTGGGAAACCATAGTGATATTAGGCAATGCTAGATTCTAGTAGATTTCTTTCTTTTTAAAATGCTCCTATTTGCAGCCAGGTGTGGTGGCACACATCTGTAATCCCAGCTCTTGGGAGGCTGAGGCAGGAGGATTGCCACAAGTTTGAGGCCAAGCCTGAACACATAAAGCATTCGAGGTCAGCCTGGACTACATAGATCCTATCTCAAAAAAAACATTCCTTTTTGGCAAAGGAAAATTAAAAATAACTGGGAAATGAGGAATAGCATACTTTAACTTTCTTGGTAAAGAAAGTATTCTTCAAGACACCGGGCAGGCAAGACAGATGTGTGAAGAACACAGCCAGTCTCACCAAGAACGTGCACCCCTGCAAGAAGCTTACCCTGCCTGACCGCCCTGGTGGACCCGACACTCGGCTCTGTGGTTCCGGGGAGTCTCGGAGAGGCCTCTGCACATGCTGACCAGTGCCCTGCAGGGCCACCTTGTCTGCAGCTGCACCAGCCCCCAGCAGCTCTGGCACCATCACACCAGGGCTCTGGTCAATGAGACCAAGGCCTGGTATCTTCAGGTCCCTTCCTCCACTAAGAAATTAAGAAGTGACATTTTATAACTATATTGGTAAAAGTATCAATATGCTAATCCATGCACTGGAACACTGCTGGGAAGAGCCAGGATGCCCACGCACACACATACACAGGTATGTGTATGTGCATTGCACATGTGCTTATATGTGTGTGCAGACCCTGTGCCAGGCATCCACCATGCCCCTTGCAAGGCCCTGAGGTCAGTGCCCTGGCCACGCCCTCCCATCCCTCCACTGACGGGTGAGCTCCAGGCCACTGCTCACATCCACCAGCTCCCCCAGCCCCTGGCCCTTCAGTCTTGCAAGTCGGGAGCTCTGCCTTCTGCACAGTCCCTGCACATGCAGTTTCCTCCAAGCTCTGTCCACACAATGTTGTACCAGGACTCAGACACGGGAAAAGACAGCAGGGCCGGGACAGAGCCTGCCCTGCCCATGACACATAGCCCGTGCCCCTGGGCAGCCCAGCTGAGGCAGACGCCCGTATGCACACAGGAGCCCCCACCCTGGCCTCCAACTTCCAGGTCCCCACACAGGGTGGCGGGGCTGGAAGGAACATTCCTGCTACTACAGTGGAAATGAGTTGGCAGGTGTGGGGAGTGCCTCAGGAGAATTTTTAAGGCTCGTCAGTAAGTGCTGCCTGTCTGGTGTTTAAGGTGAAAATAGTTTTATCTTTAGAGATGTAAGGCACAGAATCTCCCCAGCAATATCTTGCATTCTGCACATCTTTGGAAAGCCGGTTATGAGGAGGTAGAAATGGAGCACAAATCCAAGCATCGTGCTTTAGAGAAAATATATGGGGCGGGTGAGAGAGCATGCTAAGGTCCAGAGGCAAAAAGCAAAGACACTCAGATCCCCACCACCACCACAATCCCTAAAGAGAAAAGGAGGGACATGGAGGGCTGTGCAGCACAGGGGCTGACCTGGCCTCTGTCTTGGGTCTGCTGGAGTGGCCATCAGCAGGGCCAGGCTGGAGTGCTGGCTCCTAGGGTCTGCCTGGGTCCTGTGGTCCGTGAGAGTCAGGCTGAACACAGGAGCCTTCGTAAGCTGCTCATCTCATGTGTGTGTGCATTACTGGGGCTTGAACCCAAGGCCTCCCACTGAACTGCAGCCCCAGCCCGTTTTTATTTTGAGGCAGGGGCTGGCTAGTTGCTGAGTTGCCCAGACTGGCTCCAACTTGCAGGCCACCTGCCTCAGCCTCCCGGAGTGCTGGGATTGCAGGTGTGCGTCACCACACCTGGCTTTGTGGGTCGTTTTGCTACTGATGAGCAAGTTCACCCTCAGGCCAAAAGGGTCGAGGGCTTCCAGTCTACACCAGAGAGCACCTGGCACTGCACCAAGGGTGAGAGTTCGATTTCAACTCCATCGCTTACAATGTGCAATGGATGCGATATCCCCATGGGACTGTGGCACAGGCCAAACCCTGCAGGTGAATATTTGGGCCTCCCAGGGGTCCATCAGGACCATGTGTGCCACAGCACACCCCATGGCGGAGAATCAGCATCTTCAGAGCTGCACACCCGCAGACAACTGAGTAGCCTATGTGACCATGTCCCTCTGATTGCTCAAAGGCAGGACTTTGTTCCTGGGGTTTAGCAGCCTTTTGAATTCCACTGTCCAGGTCCTGTAGCCACTGAGTCTTCGAGGCCAGCAGTCTTAGCCTCTGCCACCCCTGCTGCTACTGGTGTTCTCAGACCTCTGCTGCCTCAGCACTCCATCCGACTGCCACATGGCTACAGTCTGGTCAACTGGCTCTCTGCAGACACCGCACTAAGGTCACAAACCATGAGGCAGAAAGGATCCTCTGGAGCCAGGGCCTCCTGCCACATCTCTGTCTCCACCCACTTTTCATCTGAATCAGATGCTGCCGGTGCAAGCTTTGCATCAACGTAAGAGAAAGAGCCTTGGATCTTAACTCTGGGTGGGCTGGAAGCAGACATCCCCGTACGACTCAGCTGGCTCTGTGAGAAACCTCAGCTCTCTTCCTCCAGCCAGGCAAGCCCTATAAACTCAGAACCCATCCTCTCACAGCCAGCTGAACACCAGAACTCACTCTCTTGAGGCACCCACCTGCCCAGGTCCCAGCAAGCAGTGCCCTTGGATGCCAGGCCTCACAGCTCGAATTTCCCAGTGGAGATCAGAACCAAACTCCAGCCAGCAGAGATTGTCACACACATACTAAGTGCACACCTGTTTGCACATTTATGCACGCACCAGGGACCACTCTCCTCTCTTCTCCCTGCCAATCCCTGGTTGCTGTGGCCCTGGTCTTTGGTCTACAGGTGAGGCTGTGGCCTCTCCTCTCCCAGCAGCCAGGGTCCCCCTACTGCGACACCTAGGGTCCCAGCACGCACAGTGAACTCTCCAGCCTGCCGTCCACTCTACACTAGCTACAGCAGCGTATGCAGCCTGCTCCCCTCAGTTCGGATGTTGCTCTGGGGTGCAGAGTGAGGTGCCCCGCTCACAGGGCCATCCCCATCTGGTGTGCAGCCTCCAGCCCACTCTCCTGCTCCCCTGTGGATGGGCAGGGTGGTGACAACCGAGTGTTCCTTCGGGTCACATGCTGCTTGGCACCAAGGGCCCCTGCCGCTGCCCTCACTGTGGGACCTGTGTCTTCCTGGGTCTTCCTCCTTGCTGTCATCTGACTTTTGTCTGGAGCTGCTTGGTTATCACAGATTGATCAGGCCCGCAACCTCCCAAACAAGTGGATGGTGAAGGCTTAAATAAGAGACAAGTGGTATGATTTTAGGGCTCCAGGAGAATCAAAACCCTCAAGCAGAATTCAGGATTCTTTGGGGGCTGAGACAAAGAGATTCCCAGGGCGGCCCTTCAGACTTTGTGGTCCTCCAAACTTGCAGTAGAAGCCACTTGAGTAACATGTTTTGCAAAATTCCAGCCGCAGCGCAGTGAATGCATTGGATACCAAGGAAACGTGAGTTGAGAGGCACCGCATGGAGATGTCTCCTGAGACATCAGACCCAGACGCTCCCAACACCTTCAGTAGAAAGAAGGCCTGAGGGCCACAGCCAGCTTCCTGTTCATCAGCCCCATGGTGGAAGATGCGCAACTGTGGGAGGGGGGCTGGGACGCCAAGGGACCGTGAAGCCTGGTGCTCTGTGTCCCACGAACTTGAGCAGCCTCGGTCCTTGTGCCCTCTGCGCCTGCACTCCAGGGACCTCAGGCTCACCACGCTGCACATCCATCCCTACTCATGGCAGAAATTGGAGCAGGGTGGGGAGTGGGGAGCTGCAGGGTGAAGAGGTGAGGAAAGGCCAGGGCAGTGCAGGATGAGCACGGTGTCCACTGGGACACCTGACTCAGTGAGATTTGGTCTCAGTAGGGTGACACAGGGCACTCTGGGGCCAGAGGAAGGGGCTGGGACTGACAGTGCAGGGGAAGCAGAGCACTTTGAGCCCTCAGGGTGGAACTGCCCTCACCTGAGGGCACCTTGCCCCTTGGGACGTGGAGGGGCCGGCTCCTCCTCCTGGCTGCTCACCATCCCTCCTCGCGTGGGTGTCTATCAGGCTCCTGAGAGCACCGTGGTGACCAGGGTTCCCGTGTCATTGTTAATGTGCTGTTCTTGTCTTCTGTCCCCTTCTGTTGTCGGACCAAACAGAAGTATTCTGCTGTTTCTCTCTGCAACATCTCCACAGAAGTCCTGAAAGTCATCACTGCCACAGAGGAGCTGATCGCAGAGTCCACGGGGCCCTGGGAGCTCCCGCCGGTTGCCGCTGGCACAGAGGAGAGGACATTTCCTCTCGGGACCAACCAGGCAAGGCTGGAGGAGCAGCTGACCTCCCTGGAAGAGAACGTAAGGGGCAGATGTGGCCGGTGGGGGGGACGCATGCAGAGCCACGGCCGAGAACGCCACGGATGGCCGTAAAGTGGGAGGACATGCTGCCACGGCCACCCTACCAAACAGAGCTTGGGATGAGGGTTTGAGGCCAGCAGCTGAGAGGGACGTCCTCATGAAGGAGAAGGAGGGAGGCAGAGGAGGTCTGACCTAGCCAGCAGGGGCCTACGCGGCTGTGCCACAAGTGTCCCCAGAGGATGCTGCCTGCAGGGAGCAAGTGTAGCCACAGCCAGCACACAGGCGTGCAGGGTACAGCATCACTATCAGTTACATCTTCACTCGAGGCCACTGCAGAGAGTGCATGGGGCCCTGCACAGGCCGAGCATGCAGGCTCTGGGCCCTAGCCAGGAAATCTCAGTGCAAAGAGAAAACACTCCAGGGTGGGAAACCATCAGCGGATTGGGTGCCGAGGACAGAGCAGCCTCAGTCAGCATCTCGGAGAGCAGGCAGGAGGAGCCAGCAGACACCGAGGACCGTCACATGTCAAGGACAGGGACTCCACAGAGCCCGCCACATGGGGCTCTCGTGAAGAAGTGGCAGATGGACCAGGCAAGGCTCAGTGTTGGCTGGCAGTTAGCATGGAGGGCACAGGCCATGAAGAGGCTGCTCACACCCTGCAGGGCAGAGACAGGGGCCACACGCCTGCCATGTTCCCCCTCAAGATGCCCTAGACCACCCCGGCCCCCACACACCATAGTGGCAGGAAAGGTGCTCCCCACCCCCAAGCTCCACCCTTGTCAACCAGGCTCTCTGAGGATGGAGAGGTCCTGCCGCTCTGTCCCCAGCCTCATGGCCGAGGGTAGACCAGACGCTACCACCAGTCACGCTCCACCGTCCTAGCCTCGCCTAGGCCCCCTGGCCATCAAAAGGAAGATACCCACAATCATGTACACTGGAAGTAGCGTCTCTTTAATTTAACAAGGGCACATTTGTAGCATGCGGGGTTTGCACTCGCCTTGGGGAGCAGGCGCATGGGCTGACGCAGCCCCCCGCTCTTTCACCAGCCACTCCCCTGCTCACCCTCCACCCCGCCACCCGGAACCCCATCTCGTTCTTGCTTTCACTGTCACCTTAGCTGGTGTCTGTGACAGTGTTTACGGTCACCAAGGTTGGCAGCTTCCTACACATGGCGAGACTCTGCTCTGCTGACCTCCTCCCACCTCCTCACCCCGGCACTCAGTCTCTTGGATGCTTGCTTTCTGCAAGAGCTGTAGCTCCTCCTTGCCTTCTGTGTGTCCTTTGTTTTGCCCTTTGTCTTTACCTTGCTTTACTCACATGGGAAGCACCACATCCAGAAGAGCTTTTAAGCCTCTTCTCTTACTCCACTCAGCATTGTTTTTCCAGGTGCATCCATTTTCCCACGGTGCATCCTTGAATGTATCCTTCTTTATATCTGAGTAGTATTCCATTATGTACAAGTGCCACATTTTCTAAATTTGTTTGTCTGCTTCTGGGTGTGTAGACTGCATCCAAGACTGGGCTGTCATGAGCTGTGCCGCTCTAAAGGACGGTGTGTGTGTCACGGTAGTGTGATATCTTTAGCTCTTTGGGGAAGATGCCTAGAAGGTGAAGGGCTGCATCAAGCAGAATTTCTGGCTTCAGTTCTCTGACAGCTCTCCACACTGGTCTCCTCTCCCCACAACAGTGTGGCAGGGTTCCTTTTCACTGCAACCATGGCAGCTTGCATTATTCTTTGACATCTTGATGATTGCCGTTCCTACTGGTATAAGATGAGATCTCAGTGCTGCTTTAATTTGCATTTCTCCAGTAGCCAGACACGTTGAACAGTTTTTCATGTGTTTGTTGGCTATTTGTGCTTCTTTCTCGGAGAAGTGTCTGCTCATTTGAGCTGCCTATTTTTTACTGTTCATTTGTTTTGTGTGATCTAATTGTTTTTTATTTCTTTACATATTCTAAATGTAAGTCCTCTGAGGAGTAGCTAGCAAGATTTTTTTCCTATTCTTTAGGGTGTCTTTTCACTCTACTGATTGTTTCCACTGCTGGTGGAAGCTTTTTAATTTGTTATGACCCGATTCACTGCTTCTTGTGCAGCTGGGGCTCTGTTCAAAAAGTCCTTGCCTGCATCTGTGACTTCAAGTGTTTTACCTTTATAACCTTCAAGTAGATTCAGTATTTGTTTGTTATGGTTTGTGTCTGGACATCCCCCCAAGCCTCATGCAGTCGTGGAGGGGGCTGAATGGTTCATTGATTGGTTCATTGTCCAGCACTGGGATTGGTGGTGGGTGTGCTGCACCTGCCCAGGGGCTTACTAAAGGAGGGAAGGAGGTGTGCTTTTTCCTCTTTTGCCCTTTTATTCTTGTTGCATGCAGCCTCCATGAACATTGCCCCTCAGCCACGCCACCCTGCCTACAGCCAGCTGAGTATGGACTGAAACCTCCTAAACTATAAGAGAAATAAATCTTCCCATCCCTAATTTGGGGCATCAGGTATTTTGTCTGGACAATGAGGAAAAGTAACCAAGACACTGTTTTAATGTTTAGGTCTTTGATCCATTTTTATTTTAATTTAGTACATTGTGAGAGATAGGTCCAGATTCATTTTTTACAAATAAATAACCAGTTTTCAGGGTACTATTTGTTGAACAGGGTATCTTACCTAACTTTCCAATAAAAACTACAGTACTCTGACAAAGGATACTGAAGAAGACATCAGAAAAGAAAAAGATTTCCTGGATAAGCAGAGCCCGTACTGTCAAAATGGCCATTCTCTCAAAACTGATCCATATATTTGATGTAATCGCAATCAAAATACCAACAGAACTAGAGAAAAAAATCCCAAAATTTGTACAGAACCAGAAGAGACACAGAATAGCAAAAGCAGACTTGGAAAACAAGAGCAAAGCAGGAGGCATCAAGATATCAGACTTTGAGCTATACAACAAAGCTATAGTGACAAAAACAGCATGGTAAGGGCATGAAAACAGATGTGGAACAGAATTGAAGACACAGAAATGGTCCCAGACACATTCAGCTACTTGATCTTGCCGAAAGTGGCTCCATAGACACCATTCCATAGACATTGTTCATTCCTCTCTCCCCTGGGACAAGGGCAATTGAGGCTTTTGAGACTCTTGAGAAAGAAGAGAATGAAGGAGGTCCTGTTGGTGGCTGCACTTTGCCAAAATTCATGTTCCTCACTAAGCACAAGCTGGGCATTATGGCACATGCCAGTAATTATAGCACTCAGGAGGCTGAGGCAGGAGGATCACTGAAAGTTCAAGGCCAAGTTTAGGCTTCATAGCGGGTTCAAAGTCAACCTGAACTACATAGTGAGACCACTCAGAAATGAACGATAAATAAAACTAAGTTTAGGCCAGGTGGTCTGGGTCTCTCTGCCTCAGCTGCACCTTCAGGACCCTGCTCCTGCCCGGGGCCTCTGTAGTGCCAGCTCCTCTCCTGCCCAAGGAGGTTTTGCCCAGATGCAGGGCCTAGAAGGGCTGGGCCTGCAGGGCTGTGCGGGGAGGGTGGAGGAAAGGAGGGAGCTGCCTGAAGCCCCAGGTGAAGGGGCCCAGGCAGCTGGCTCTGTGGAGTCGGGACTTCTGGAAGCAAATTCTAATTAATGTGCTCACTTTTACTGTCTTCAGTCATTTCTGCGTAGTTTACACTCCTCGAAGGAATCTGAGGTACAGTTATTTCTGTGAAAGGCCTCAGAAGTCTCTTCCTTCCATTCATGGAAGGAAAAGCCTTCATTTTTCTTGGCGCTGGGATGGACCCCAGGGTCTTGTGCATGCAGAGCCACACCCAGCCTCAGGAAGAGGAGGAATGGTAACACCAAGACAGAGGTGGAGGGCTGGGTGTGAGAAAGGCCCCTCGTCCTGAGGAGGCATGCGGTTCCAGAGGGCTCAGTGCATTGGCACAGGGCAGGGCACAGGGGGCAAAAGGGCCTCCTGGTGGTGCACAGGAGGGAGGGTAGAAGAGGGTGGGACACATCCCGTGACTGCCCCCTTCACTGAGGCCCCACTTTCTTGTGGCTGAGTCTCCTTGTGGATTAGCACCTGTGATCCCGTCACCTCCCAAAGCCAGCAGCCAGCCTCACGGGGAGCTCTGCCCTCCAGACCACAGCAGCTTCTGAGAATTGTCCCGTACTAGGGGACAGGGAAGAGATACGGTCACCCCAGCATTGTCACCAGACATGCTCAACCCTTCTGTGTGGGAGCCCTGAGCCCTGCCCAACCCAGAAAGACACGAGACCTCCACATGTGTCCTGTGGAAGGTGACATCGATGGACGGAGCCCTTTACAAGGAAGGGTCCTTTCACCCCGAAAGTGAGGTCAGCAGTGCCTATAAACCCGGTCTTTGCATTCTAGACTCAAAAATTGAGGGTTTGGGAAATGAGTTTCCTCTCAGACAGAGTACGACAGCAGAGAAACCACATATGTTATATCCTAACTGAGAGGCCATAGTGGCCTCACCTCATGCACCGAGACCAGCCGGCACCTCTGCTTCCCCCTGCCCGGGGATGGGGAGTTAAATGCCTGAGCCGGGTCTCAGAGTCTCGTCCACCACTTTTCTGCTGGGCATGGTGACGTAGGCCGAGCTCACTGACCTCTCACTCAGGCTGTACCTCATGCTCACTGCCCCCAAGAGCCAGGGCCCAGCTGAGCAGCTGCCCCACCTCACCTGCCTGAGCTCCTGCAGTTTCAAGCTGCACGAGAAGCTGCCTCTCTGTGTCCTGGGCTCCTGTGGGTATGCAGTTGGGGCCTAGCAGGCTTCCCTGCCCTGCTACTGTCCCAGAGTGGAACCCGGCTGGGCGAGGCATAAGGTGAGCAGGTCCTCCCACAGCTCTGGTGCAGTGGTTTAATCAGAAGCTGCCCCAGTATCAGGCTGAAGGGGGTGCATCTCTGTCAGGGTCCAGGACGGAACAGGAACAGCACCTGACTCTGCCTCGGACAGGGCTCCTGGGGCCGGGACACTTGTGAAGAGAACACTCACACAGGAGTGTTCAGGGCCACAGAGCCCCCGCTCACACACCGCAGCCCGGTTCCATACCTGCTGCATGCCCTGGAGCTGCAGGCCATGGTCGCCTCCCCCACTGCCCCTGCCCACCCTTGTCCCCACTAGGGACAGGAAGGACAGGTGCACAGTGCAATGGGGCTCAGTCCTGGGCAGAGCTCATCTCTGGGGTTCAACCCCACCAGCGTTGGGCTGGGGAGGAGTGGGAAGAGCTGGTGTGTTAGGAGATGGTCACCTTGGATGGGCCAGAGAAGGGAGAGCACCCATCAGGACAGGCACACTGAAACTGCACCCCTCGAGGACGCAGAAGAGGCCCTGTGGGAGCTGTAACCCTGCAAGGAGCAGAGAAAAGCAATGCTCATAGCAGCGTTCGGCCCCTGCAGAGTTTTCTGTTAACAATACTGGGGACTGGACCCTGGGCGCTCCCATGGAGCTACATCTTCAGCCCTTTTTATTTATTCAGAGTCTCCCTGAGTTGCGAGTTGCCCAGCGAGGCTAGCCCTGCGGTCCTCCTACCTCAAGTACTGGGGTAGTGGACAAGTGCCACTGCCCCCAGCTCACTCCCCTGCCTTAGCCTCCTGCCAGCATCCTGCCCAGCTCATCAGCCACAGGCCAGGCGGCAAGGGGTCTACCTGCAGGCCAGGCCAGTGCGTCCCTTCTCCTCAAGACACTTTTGTCCCTCTCCCATGCAGAGATGCATGTAGCTGGCCATGTGGGCACCTGGGCTGGCCCGGGCTGCCCAGGGTGTAACTCAGGTCACAGCAACTGCCGGGCCAGGCGAGGGCCGTTACCTGGCGCTGCATAGGACGCTGAGGAGGCTTTGCAAAAACCACCTTCTGCCTCCCAACCCAATGTGTTTTAAGTGGGCGTGGAGACTCACACCTGCCACCCCAGCTCCCTGGGAGGCAGAGGCAGAAGTTCACACATTCAAGCCCAGCCTGGGCAGCCTAGTGATATGGTAAAACCCTGTCTCCCAGCCAGAAATATGGAATATGCTGCAGCGCGAAGGCCTTCACCAGTCTTCCAGTTCAAATTGCTTTATGTAATTTGCTCTCTGCTGGTCCATAGCTCTCAGAAAGTTACCCTGACTCAGATTTCACGAGTTTCTCCTAACATCTTATTCTTTCCTAAGGAAATATTTTCCTGCTCTAAATTTCAAGTTCATTTTAATCTCCTTAATTCATTTTAAACAAGCAAAAAGTCACGCATCAGAGATAATTTGTTCAAAATTTTATCTCAATTACTAAATAAATGCCAACCAAAACTTTCCCGGGAAGGCGCCCATTGGAGCTCTTCTCTTGTTTCCTTGTGTTCCTTTCTGTAAATCCCGGGCAGATTCATGCCTTCTGGAGCCCGTACTGTGTGCACCCAGGGGCTCACAACTCTTCCCTGCGAGGGCACGTCGGGAAGTGAGTGGCTGCATGTGAGGTGGTGCGTGGCAGCTCCCCAGTGGCCCCTCCTCCCTCGCTGCCTGTGACTCTGGCCTCTGCAGGACAGGACGCCCTTGCCCTGCGGGTGTGCACCTGAGCGGCTGCCTCTCTCCCCAGGTGTACCTGGCAGCAGGAACGGTGTACGGGCTGGAGGGTCAGCTCACCGAGCTAGAGGACGCCGCCCGCTGCATCCACAGCGGCACGCAGGACACTGAGCTGGCGGAGCTGGAGGACCAGGTGGCCTCGGCCGCTGCACAGGTGCACCATGCAGAGCTGCAGGTAAGGGCAGGCCCTGCCATCCATCACCCCCATGTGCTCCCTTCTATTCTGAGTGACAGTTTCCAGGACATACCTGCTTCTCCCGAAAACCCCGTGCAGTTTCCTCCCCGACATGTTACCTGCCGCACACTGAGGCCCTTTCTCTGGCCCTAGTCTGCCTGCTGTGGTCCAGAAGTCCCACAAGGATGAAGCCGAGCACAGGACTCCAGCGCCTCTCACCCGCCTGACACACAGTGGGGATGCTGTGTCCTTCTGGGGTAATCTAATACAGTGCTGCTGCCGCCGAGCATCCCCAGCAGAGTGGCAGCCTGCAAAAACCGGGCCAGGCCCTCACCTACCTCATCCACCAGATCTGACACCGTGTGACCCCTGGCTCTTCCCAAAGTAAAAATGACCACAAAAGGAAAAGGCTTTGAATCCATTCAGGACATCACAATACCCGGGACAGCCTAGCTAAAGACACTCAAGAAAAAGAACCCCAGAGCTGCTGTGGAGCAGCGAAGATGAGGGGATGAGGGTGCCCAAGGCACCAAGTGTGATGGCACCCACCTGTGATCCCAGCACTTGGAGGCTGAGGCAGGAGTATCCCTAGGAGTTCCAAGCCAACCTGAACTAACAGGGAACCAAACAAAACTAAAAAACTGTGCTGGAAGCAAGAAAGAGGATTGTGAGTGGGTTAGTCTCTGTGTACTTCCCATTTCTGTGCACCTCACATTTTAAAACTACATCTTTGGGATCACTTCTGAATAGAGACAATGATAACTGAAGAATTGTAGTTATAGTGATGATGTTAAACAGCTAAAAATCAGTCCTGGCCAGTGTCGTGCGTGCCCTAGACTGGGCTCATCAGATAGCCCTGTTTACTATTCACTATCAGCTAAAATAGCAAAAAAGCAACTTTCTTCAAAAATTACTTTCCATGAAAGTTGCCCAAAGTTTAGTAAATTTGTTGACATTATATAAAGTAGAATCCAATCATTTGTTTTCTGGTACATTGTACAGCAAAGAGTCCCAAATGGTTTAGCAGGAAATAATATTATTTATTATAATATGTGTATAGCAGAGCTTTATTGGTTTATTAGTTATTTCTGCTTCCAGGTTTTTCTAGGCTTACATTATTGGAGCCATAGTTTATGGCAGAAAGTTGTGGGTCTGTTTTCTCTGTGTTGGATGTGCCTGTAATTTCTAAGCATCCCAGCACTCTGGATAACACCAGTGTTCTGTGAAACTTACTTCCTGCCAGAAGTTCTTCCTGACAGTTTGCCTCATAATTCTGACGTAGCCTTCTCAGCAACCCTAGGAGGCGGCAATGTCTCAAATCCATTTTTCACCTGAGGAACGGAGGCGGCAGAAGGCAGTGCCACTTGCCTGAGGTGACTGCTGGCAGCCGTGGATCGGGATTTGACTAGTGTTCCCGGGAGGTGCCAGCCACCTGCAGCACCAGGCTAACCCAGGAGTGTGGACCTCTCCACCCCCCAGGTGTTGTCCAGTGGAAGCTCGTTCCCCACCCACGGCCGGGCAAAGAGCCCTGCAGGCATGGGGAGGAAGTGGACGCACCCAGTTGCTGGCAACCAAGATGCTGGCCTTGGAGTCACCTGGGGCCAACATGGCACAGCCCCTGCCTAGGGGCCAAGGATGGCACTGTGTGTGCAGGGTGGTTTCTGCCCAGCCTGTGAGGAGTCTTCCTGCGGCAGGAAAAGGGCTCACCTGAGTCTGGACCCTTAGCTTTGGAATGAGTACAGCCTGTGCCAAGCTGTTTGTTCCGACACCCAGGAGATGCAAAAGCTGACACCATGTCCCCCATCATCAAAGATCAGGCACACATCACAGGGGGTCATGGGTGGTAGGGGGTAGATAGATGGGTGGAGAGATAGATGATGGATAGATGACAGATGGATAGACAATCCTCAGTAGTCTCCTTGTTTCTCCTCTTTGTCCTGTGGACTAAAACTTGAAGAGCCAATGCGTTCTCACTCCAGAACCTGACACCTGACGGATGGGGGTGGGCAGCTCGCTCCCCCTCTGACCTTCCTCCTGAGCATGGCCCGGGTAGAACAGGGCAGTGAGTCCAAAGCAGTGGTGAGTGACTGGAGAAAGCTGGCCAGCAGCTTTCCTCAGAGCCTGCTGGGCACTGCTCTCCATAACCAGCAGAATGTGGCTGTCCACCTGAGGTCAGGTCCCCGAGAGGCCTAGGCCCTGGCCTCGCTTTGGATGGCTCCAGGGAGCTAAGCATGCGTCTTTCACCAGCTGCCTGTACCGTGGACTTCACCTCCTCTTCCTCCTCCTCCCCATTCTTGCCTTCCTCCTCCTCCTCTTCTGACCGAGATGTCCCCTCTTGGTATGGAAGAATCTCCCACTTGCACTGGCCCTTCAAGCTGTCTCAGTGCACCTTGTCTTAGTCACTTTCTGGTGGCTGGATCCCAATGCCTGACACTCACAACTTATTTTGGCTCACATTGGCTGACTCCAGGCAGGAAGCCACAGCAGAAGGGCCTGGTGGCCAGGAAGCAGAGGGAAGGGGAGCAGGAGGGAAATGCACCCTTCCAGGCTCCAGCCCAGTGATCCCTCTTCCCACCAGACCCTGCCTCCTAACTTCATGTCACTGTACCTGCATTGTCCAGTATCCTTGGGACACATGAAGCTCCCTTGGACATCTGGGTCTCCAGCTCCGAGACTCTGCCCAGTGGATGCTCAGCAGCCATCCCAGGGTTAGCATTAGTGGTGGGAGCAGGTGGTGGCACTCGCACCCGCAGCTGTCGTGGGGTCCCAGCAGCGGTGTGCCCCGCCTCCCCCATGACCATGTGGTCCTTGTCTTGCCTCTTGAGCTCCACCCTGCATGGTGCCAGTTGGTGGCAAGACCCTGAGGACACAACAGAGCAGCAGGAGCCACCCCGGGTCCTCACCTTGTGCCTCAAGTCTCCATGAGACAGCTCTATGGGGTCATGCTGCGGCCTGAGGGCCTCACACACTCAAAGCACTGAGCTGGTACATGCACTGGTGTCTCTCCCAGGACCAAGAACCAGGCTGCCCTGGGCCTGCCCTCTGTGCCATCCACGATGGACTGTGGAAGCTGCATGGACTCGTTAATGCCCTGCCAGGTCTCAGATGAGGACACGATGCCCAGAGGGAGAAGGCAGCTTCTTGAGACCACTCATTGAGAAATGGATTTAAATTGGGGCTCCCAAGCCACACCCCAATCTCTGAAGCTGCAGGTGTGGGCACAGAGTCTGGAAGCAGAAGGCAGCAGGTGTGGATCACAGACGTCCTCACGCCCGACCCCAGGATGCTGAGCACAGCATGCATGTCACTCCACATCATCCCAATAATGAAGTGATGGAGGCCGAGTTCTGTGCTGGAGAAGAGCTTCCCACGGCTCGCAGATGCAGCCTGAAGCCCAGAGCTTCCCATGGCTCAAGGACACAGTCCAAAGCCCATGCCTGTACTGCATGCTCCATGTGGCCTGTGGAGGGTATGCCATGTAGATGACACTGCAAGGGTGAGCCTGCACAAAGGCCCAGATAGTGCCAACTGGATGCCACATCATTGAGTCTCCTGGTGGTCTGCGTGACAGCTCCTGGCCCCATGTGGCAGTGTGAGCAGCATGGAACCCAAGGAGATGGAGCCTCACGGGGTTCCCTGGGTGGCAAGGACAGCTACCCTCAGAAGGATCAGGCTATTCTCATGAGCCTAGAGCCCATGACCACAGGAGGTGGCTAAGAAAAGAAAGAGCCACCTCCAGTCCTCATTGGCTGCCCTGGGCTGTCCTGCTCCCTTGACATTGGGACATCCCTATGACATGACTGGGATACAGGCATTGGCTCCAGAACTTCCAGCACTGTGGGCCGAGGAAGCCCCTTGAGAGCCCAGCTGGACAGTGGCATCGTCCCCAGGATGAGAATGACAGTCCTCAGGGAATAAACCAGGCACTGGGAGAGCTGCCATACTTCCTGCCAGGGTAGCGCCCCATTACCTGACAGAGTTCCCCTGCCTCCAGCACCTCCAGGAAACCTCAGACCTTAGCTGTAGCACCCCTCATGGCTCCCGCACCCCATGTGACCTCCACGACCTCTGGCTTCCCCTTACCCAGCATACTCTGACAAGGTTGTTGGCCTGCACTAGAGCCACCAAAGACGAATCAAGTTTTCCAAGGACAGTGTCATCTTTTTCCACCTGCTCGAGTCAGAAGATGAAGAAGCACAGACTTGCTCTTTGTGAATCCCTAATGCTTTTACCCAAGATCCTGCGCCTACACATCTTCCCTGCTGACCCTGTCTTTCTGTCGCCTTCAGATTTCGGATATCGAGAGCCGGATTTCAGCCTTGACCATTGCAGGCTTGAACATAGCGCCTTGCGTGCGCTTCACGAGGAAGCAGGAGCAGAAGCGAAGGAGTCAGGTGAGTGGTCCCTCGCTCCCAGTTAGGAACCTCAGGCCCAGAGAGTCACAGGGTACAGGGTTTCTGGCTGACAGAAGCACACTGACCACCGTGTTGTTTGCAGGTGCAGACCATAGACAGCTCCAGGCAGCAGAGGAGAAAGCTGCCTGCCCCGCCAGTGAGAGGTGAGCACCCAGCATGACCTCAGGCTACCAAAGAGCTGGACCGGAGAGATGAGTCTGGGAGCAGAGAGAAGGGCATTCACACCCAGCACTGTCCTTGCCCATCTTGGGGACCAGGGACCCCAGCAGCAAGCCCTGGGACAAGAACAGCAGTGGCTGCAGCTTGCTTGGGAGGGACAGAGAGAAATGATGCAGGGAAAGGGAAGACACTAAGCTGATGCAGAGTACTGTAACTCAGGGTTCTGCTCCGGGAGCAAAACCCTCATGGGAGCCTTGGGAGACAGAGTGGGCTGCATCTCCAGGGGGGGCCCAGGGTTTGACCTTCAGCCCAGCCTTCTCCAGCTGAGGTCACTGCCTGGACCTTCTCACCCTGTTGGCATGGCAGCTGCCAGGGACAGGAGGACAGGACACCAGGAAGGGTCTCCTTTATCTGAGGATGCTGTCAACCATGTCCTGAAATTCAGGAGCCAAGTGATGATGACACCAAATATAAACTTTAGATTCCCAGCCTGGAGGGAATCTCGGGCTGTGGTTTGAGCCTTGGTCTCACCATCTGGCGTTCAGAGGTATTTATTGAATGCTTATATTCTGCAAAACCCTACATGTGCAGTTCAAGTCACCTAGCTCCACCGTCCCCACTCCAAAGCCCTTGTCCATGTGGGTCCACCACGGTCAGGCATTGTAAAGGCCATATGAGCTATGGCGTCTGGGCCACATCTGGTCATCAGGCACAAGCACCCCGTGGCAGCAAAGTCAGAGAATTTTCACTGTGCCATGATGGGCAGGGACTTCATGGGACCTCAGATCATTCCAGTCAGGGTTTGCAATTAGATGCTTTAGCTCCAGACAAAAGTGTACAGTTTGAGGCACCTTTATAGTTCCACACTGCAAATAATTCATAGACTCTGAGCTATCTTTGCTCAGAAAGCTACCAACTGTGCCTTGATATGTTTAGTACCCATCATAAAAGTAAACACAAAATAAAAAGGACTTACAGTCATCCCATGCACAAGGGTAAGATAACTAGTCCAGATCAAGAGTGTGGCCCACTCTCTTCCTCACAGGTCTGAATGCCTGGTTATACTTATTCCCATTTGTTTCTCTTTAGCTGAAAACACTGAAGCATGCTCGGTGACCACGGTGAAAACATTCAACCGCAACTTCATTCTCCAAGGCCCGGCCAGCAGACCAGCAGAGAGCAGCCCACAGGACCTGACGGTAAATACCGCCTCTGTCTCTCACTGTTGACGGCACTCTGGCAGGCTCTCAGCCCCTCTGTGCGGCCCCTACTGGCCCCGAGGAGCTCCCTCTCCTCCGGCTCATGGTCTGTTGGGTTTGGTGTGGTCAGCAGCCAGAATGGGCCCCTTCATGGTTCTGTCAGTCTCTGCCATGTGGATGTAGCCTCAATTTCCAGCTTTTAGAACCCAGGTTTGATAAACAAGAAACGAAAAATGTTCACAGGGACATAGGTCTGGTGTGAGAGCATTTATTCTGTCTTCTGTGCATACTCACTGTCTTGAGTTTCTGTCCAGTTCTCTGTCCTCCTGGAAAGGGGCAGCAGCTGCACCTCAGCATGGTAAAGTGGGAGACAGCAGTGATTCACACAAGCCAGGGTCACAGGAGCGACTGAGACACAGCAGGGGTGTAGGAGAGAAGGGCAGGGTTTCAGCCAGCAGCTAGGAGGACATACAGGACTAAGCAAAGCAACGAAAGGAGAAAAAGCAGGATGCTGCTTTCAAGTGACGTAGGCTCAAGCCAGGCAGTGTTCCGGGGAGGCCGGAGCCTTTTCCTTCTGAACAGGGAGCCGAGCTGCTGGCTGCGTCTGCCCTGGTGCAGTGGCACCGTTCACCATGTGAGACTAAGTCCTTTCAGCCTCGGGCAGCACCAGAAATAAACACTAGGCAGAGCACCGAGTAGTGTAATTATTAAACTTCAATTAAAATGTCTATCCGACTATGCTTCACAGATCATCCACTTTCTAAGCTCAGTGGATCATTTATAAAAATTGATTTTATCCTGCTCCCACAGGAAAGCTCAGTGTATTCCCAAACGCAGACTGCATAGATCCCTTTCCAGTGACCACAGTGCCGAAAGGTACCCTGTGCACAGGGGGGCTCAGGACAGTGCTCGTGTTGCCCGCAGGAGCCAGTGCTGGAGTCCGCTGGGATGTACTGATGCCATGGAGCACACTGCCATGACCACTGCCCGGCCCACACGACAGTGCCTTGACCAACAGCCATGAACCCTCGGGGGTCCACCGGGGAGAGGCCCAGGAGGCCGCGGTGACAGAGACCCAGGCCGCCGTGGACCCAGGCAGCCGCCCTGCTCACTTGGCCTCTGGCTCCAAATCCAGCCCAGCACCAGCGCTGGCCTCCCCATCCGCTTCGCTGCTGTGTTGTCCTCGGGATGCTCTTTGCTTCGTCACTTCAGTTCAGCCGGATGCTGTGTCAGCACGGTCCCATGGGAAACTGTTGAGGGGAGGGAGGCGGGCACTGTCACCTAACATCACCAGTGCTCACTGACCTGCCACAGACGGCTGGGCTAACAAATGCCAGGGAAGCGAGGTGGGCCCTGCGCCAAGCCCCGGGCACAGGTGACATGGGGCCTGCCCTCAGCCATCCCTGCAAGGCTGGGAGTGCCACAGGGCTTGCTTTGCTGCTCCTGGTTGCAGCTGGGAGTGAGGGGCCAACTCGCCTGGGCCAGCCCGGGCCCATGCAAAACATGTCACGCTGCAGCTTGAGTTCTTCTGGAGGCTGGGGCCAGGGTTCGAGGATAGTCACCATCACTTCCTCCTTGGGCCCTGTCTGGAGTCACCATAGCTGTGACCACACCAGAAAGAGGGCTGGGTAAACAACATAGGACCAAGATGACAACAGCTTGTCCTCAAGAATTTAGGTCCCAATTAATAGTCAGCAAGGCAGCAAAATGGCCTTCAAGACAAAGGTGGGAAAAGGAGAAAGAGCCTTCAAAAAGCATGCACTTCGGGAGAAGCAAGGACAGTGTAACCAACAGGCCCACAAGAGGACGGCTGTGGTCTATCTGCAGCGGCTCAGATGCCTGTGGATGGAGAGGGAGTGTCACTCAGCTAAGTGGGTGTTGGACACATTTTTTAAATGCTTGCCCCTGATAGATTGTGACTCTAGAGAAGGAAGAGGAGGGGTAAAGGAGTAGGGAGACAGCGCTTATCGGGTGTGGCCAGGAAGAGGCAGCCTTCTCACTTTGATCCTTAACCCTCTGCTGTAGGCAAACCCACTTCTCAGATTTGAAAACCAAAGCCCAGAGAGGTCAGTGTTTTCCAGTGTCACACCCATAGGCTCAGTGAGTGGCAGGAATGCCTCACAGAAGCCAGGCTTTGTTTCCAGACCCTGTTCCTTTCCCTTCTCTGCGTCCCCAGACCTGAGCTGCTGCCAGCTCGTGTGTGAAATTCACTGCAGGCCGGCTCTGCTGGTCTGCGAATGTGTCTTGCTCACGCTCTGTGTGTGTGTGTGTGTGTGTGTGTGTGCACCAGCCGAAGCCATGCCTTTGAACAAGTAAACTTCGGCTTTTTGTTCTGTTGGTGTGTTTCAAAGCAAAACGAAACAAAAAAACTAATTTTAAAAACACAACAACAAAAAAGATTTTACTTCCAAATAGAACGTTTTCTTTAAGAGGCATGAAAAGCAACTATTGTTGTGTTACAGTGTTAAAATACTCAGTTTTCTTGACAAAAAAAAAATGTGTACTGTGTAAGCCTTGCAAAAAAAAAAAAAGAAGAAGAAGCCTGCTCTATGGCATTTGAATTTTTATAAAGGCTTCCTTGTGCCAAATAAGTGCAAAGATTTAATTTACTATTTAACAACCATAAGCATACGTTATAGTTCCAGAAGAATTATTTTGTCATCAAGTGATCTTTAGTGTCAATATTTATATTTAGATTAATTTTTATAAATGAAAATATTTTAGAGGTTTAAGAAAATAAGGACAGTAGGACAGTATCTCTGATGCCTTCTAAGTGTCATGCTTGCCTTCACGTTATGTGCACTGTCAACAGAAATGATGAAGAAGTAAAGTCATTTATGAAAACAGCCTGTGTGAGAGCTCTGTGGTGGACGGAGGGATGTAGATGGAGGAGGAAGCCCGAGGGCTCTTGGACCAGCTTCGCACTCTCCTTTTCTCAGATGATCTACTTTCCTGGCTTCTCCAATTTCCTGGGGTCCACATTGCTCTGTTGGCTTCACACTCATAGTTTCATGCTCTGTCCTCTCAGGAGCACACTGCCTGGCCTCCCAGGTCTTCTGAAATCTGAACAGAAGCCTTCCTGACCCCCAAACTCTGACATTCTGGATGTCTGTAAAACTGGCACCACATGGATAATGACAAGGTCTGCTGCCAGCTGGAGCAGTAGCCAGGCCCCCTTGAATTATAGCTGTAAAGGCCTGTGAATGCCTGAATGGACAAGCACTGTGAACAAGATCCTGGGAAACAAATTCCCTATATCGTTCTGGAGCACAGTGCCCTGGGACTGTCTTCTCCAAGCTATCATTCACTTTTGCTGTGATGTTTGATTTTGATTCTCAACACAAAACTGGCTAAAAAAAAAAAAGCCCCAAACAGTATACATGCCACAGCCTCAACATTGGGCTGCCTTGATATTTCTTTTGCCAAATTAGTCTATCCCCTTTGATCTCAGTTCCCAACAACTTCTCAGTACAAGAGCAAAACATAAACAAATTTTCTGACAGAACAAAGCCCATGTGACCTGCTGATAGAATCCTTGTAGCCAGCTGAAACTTCCTGAGCCTGGCCTTTACTGCTTGCATATCTAGAAGCATTCTGGTCTTCTGAGCTCCAACTAGAATCCCCTATCACGCTCTGCTTACAGCATTCTAGGGCTTCTCCAATATGCATCTCCAATGTTTCCAAACTTCTCCCATGATCCTGTTCCAAAGGTTTCTAAGCCCCTTGGACATGTATAGTCCCAAAAACAATCCCACTCCTGGCCCCAAAATCTATCTTTGTCACCATGAAAGATAAACTCTTTGAATTCATGACATCAAAGTTGCCAGGACAGCAACATTCATGAGAGAGGACTTCCAGAAGTGCTTCAGAAAATTACAAGAATGATGAATAAGGATGTTTGAAGTCAAGGGGAGACATTTGAGGAAGATTAATAGTACTATTTGCTTTACTATAATCCATTTTTAAATTTTTATCATACTATATGTATCAGGGAAACAGTCCTGAGATGGAGCTGGTAAATAGCACAGTCCCATCCAGAACCAACACACCCCTAAACACACCATTTGGTTTCTCAAAACTAGTTGAAAATGTCTTAATTATTAAGCAGTACTGATCTCCCACTCTTGGCATGAAAGCAAGTCCCTCTTAGTAATGTCCACAGCCCTCCTCTGTCCATTGGCTACCACTCCAATGTATTCAGAATTTAGTTCAACTGTAAACTGGTCTCTCTCCTCCATAGCTTGAGTAAAGTCAGTTTTGCCATTTTTAACAAATGTACAGTATAATTTCTATTTGAAAATCCCTGAGAAGGAAAGCGAAATTTGTCAATATAAATCCTTTTGTACCACTTGAATTTTGAATCATAGAAACATATTACCTTTTCAACAATGTATATCAAATATATAAATTAGTTTTTAAAAGTAAATAGAAAAAGGAAAATGTATGCTTGATCCTCAATAGTTTATGAAGTACTAAGTAAATATAACACAGCTTCAACAATTAAAGTATCTGTCTTAGATACCAACAATGTGAAAACTAGTGAGGCCAGTTTTCAGAAGATCCAGCTAGGTTGCAGATGGCTTTCAGACTTTAACTCTTGCATTTGACCTATCAAGGTGCGATGGCTAATTTGTCTTGCCCACTTGCTGTACCAGACCCTTATGATCCAACTGCTGGATGCAGCCTTTCTGTGCTCTAGATGAAAAATCAAAAGAGAAAGACCAGGAAGAAAAGACCAAAAGTATGGCTGTCACAATCAACAATGCTTTGAGCACACCCATGTTATCCATGGGAAAACCCAAGGCCAATCAGAGAAAGAGTTCCTGCATTAAATGCAATAAAATTGGACAGTGGGAACATGAATGTACCAAGCCACTGCCCGGGTCATACTCATGTATCGGGGACCCTGACTCAGGGCACCGGAGTATTGACTGTTCCCAGCCTCAGAACAAGCAAGGCCAGCCAAAACCCTCATCTCCCGCTCTGATGAAGAGGACTGAAAGGGGCCAAGGCCAGATCCCATGGGCAAGCAAATTCAGTTACTCTTTCTTAACTTATTTCTCTGGAAAACCCACCTGTAGACTGGTGGCCATAATCAGGATCCAAGAGATTCCTAGTCAGAGCTTCCTTACACCTGCTCTGACTGTCAATTAAAGGTCAAATGTTCAACTGTGAGTTTTAATTGTCACACCGTCCTACTCTCTTACTAGGGAGAATTACCGGTAAAATTAGGGTAAGTTCTCTAATCTTGGCAAAAGCTTTGGGAGTAGAATTCTATCTCCACTCTGCATAGAGACCTAGGTAGTCTGGAAAGGGGAAGAGAAGCAAGCAGATCTTAAAGTGAACTCTGGCAAAATTTCGACTACAGACTCAGATCTTGGCTCTGCTTCTTGCCAGTGCCTCTCATGAGGATTCAAAACACCTCAAAATCTTGGCTAAATAGTCCAAGATGGCACATGAGGGACCTTTTCTCTCTTAAAACCACAGTAGAAGGGCCCCTTTGCAGTGACCCTTGCCACACTGACAGTGGTGAAAGTGGCAGAGATAGAGAGCTGGATTAAAACTAGCCCCAGCTGGACTGTCTGGGGAAAACACTGTCCAAAAGAAGACAGCTGCTGCTGAGGCTCCCTGGAAGACTTGAAGCTCCTCTCCAAAGAGCAAAGTCCCACTTCTGCTCAGGCAGATAAGTAGACTCACTAGTGATCCTATCCAAAACAGCTCTCAAGGGCACTGTATGGAGACTTCTGTCTCTTAGTAGAACCATAAGAGACAGAATGTGGGTGGTCCTGCTAGGGTTACAGCCTCAGGCTCTTGGCAGTTTATCTACAACCCACTTTGCCACACTTTGCCCAACTCAGGGGCCCAAGGGAGACTTCTGAGGGTGAGGTCCCCAGGTTAAAGAATGCACATGTGCAAGACATCAGCAGCAACATCATGCAGTGTGGAGCAGAGCACAAGAGCCAAAGCGAGGGCCACCTGCATCTCTGTTGGACGAGTCTTATACAGGTTGTTATATCATGTTTACAATCTCACACAGTGCTATACCAAACTAGCACATGCACCTTTACCTGTGCTAAGTCATGGTTACATAACTGTATCCCACTGTGCACCTGCGCTAGAGAAGTGAGGGTCACGTCCTCAGGAGTCCTTAGATCCCCTGAACTTCGAAGCTATCTGAGTGGTCGCCTACAACATGGAATTCTCTACTTACCTATCCCTCATAGTCCACCTTGCAAGACAGACCAAAAAAAATCCTCACCCACTCCTTCTCATACTTAGGCTCTGTTCCCTCACTCTAATAGTAAAGTTTGTCCGCTCAAGTCTTCAGACAATGATCCAGGCTACAGCAATGTCTCTCCTGACAAATTCACCAGGCTTCCTTGCACTGGACAGGTGGCTCAGCGGCTCTTCACACACAGGCACTGACTGCTTTATCACTGTCTGCTGACAGGTGTTTTGTTTTGTTTTTGTTTTTCCTTTCTTCCACCTAGCTGGTGAGCCACAATAGCCTGAGCGATTTGAAGGGCACACCATCCCCAGTCGGTGGAGTCTATAGCCCATCTCATCCAGAAGAAGCTAAACAAATGCCACACGAATTAGAGGAATTTACATCTCTGGGGAAATGAGGCAGATTAGTGCATGGCCAGTCAGCTGGGCAAGTGAGCGTGAACCACAGTCATAGAGATACGAGACACCACAGTAGGGAAAAAAGTTTCCCATACCCTGCACCTGAGGCCAATCAGAAAATATGTCTTTAATTCTGCTGACATGGGATCAAACAGGTTTTTGATAGGACAGCCTCGATCTGACGTCACCTAAGTAGTGGGGGACACAAAAGATGGCCACAGACCAGACTTCTTGTCCTACCTCTAATAAAAACAAAACCTTGCTAAAAAATGTAAGGTTCTGTCTTTAAAGAATAAGGAATGTATAGTATGGGATGAGGCAGGTACTATTTTCTTAAAATAATGGTTTACTAGGGGCTGGGGATTTAGTTCAGCGGCATAAGTGCCTGCCTTGCAAGCAGGCAGTCATGAGTTCGATCCCTGGTACTGATAAAAAGGAAAAAGACAAAAAAAAAAAAAAATGGTTTACTAGTCATTTGTCAACCTTACCTCTCTATGAAAGGAATTATGAGGCTCCCACTGAAGAAAAGCACAGTTTTCACAGCCACAATTTTTATATGTATTTTAGGGTAAAACAAAAGCAAACAAAATTAATCTATAGTCAATTTACCTCAAGTTGACTAGCTTCCCAAAATTAATCTAATGAAACTAGTGTAGGCTTGCAGAGCGAGACTTCACAGACATATGCAGCTTTTCTATGGATGTGAAACTGAGAGAGGTGTGGTAACTGAAAGTCCTGTGGTACGGTAAGTAGGCTTAGCCTCACTCCTTCAGGCAGGCTAGTGATGGCACCCTCCTCCAAACAGAGTCTTGAGGGTTATGTCAGGTGCCCACCTAACACCCTGTGTGTTCATAGGCTGAGCAGTCAGGAGGTGACTGGATCACAGTGGCATGAATTATGAGTTTATAGCTAATTATGATGCGGGGAGGCGGTCAGTCCTGGCACTGTGGCCTACATGGGTCTGTCTCCTCCCTCCTCCCCTAACTGATCTCAGATTCTCACCCCCCTGCTTCTCCTCTGCAGGCCCCTCTGCCACGCCACCCCATGTTGGAGCCAACTATGGACTGAACCTCTACAAACCATGAGTCAGAATCAACCTCTTCTCTTTAGGGCTGTGGGTGTCAGGTATTATGTCTCAGCAACAAGAAAGTGAATAAGACACAGATATTCTTTAAATGCTTGCTCTGTATTTACTTACAGGAGGGCCTGAGCAACCCAA